GTGAATCAAGGGCTAAATTTTTAAAGAATAAAATACGGTTTTAAAGCAAATGAATTCATTTTAAAAATATAAAATTCAATTTCAATTTAGGCTAATTCATATTCAGTTTTTAAAAGCATTTATTCAAGTTACAATTCAGATTCAATCCGAGCAATTCAAATTCAAATTCAACTTATTCAAATTCAGTTTCTGATGGCATAGATTTCTGCCCATAGTTTTACAGCTTTAAAACATCTATAATAATTGTAAAAAATAAAGTTAGCTACTTCGCGGATTTCACCTATTGCGGGTTATTTTTGGAACGTAACTACTGCAATAAACGAGGGACCACTGTATTGTGTCTTGCTTCTACATTCCTTTTCTCTCCATATCTCTCTTCTCTAATCTCACTATAGATCACAATGTCGTCTGCAAACATCGGGGACTACTAGACCTAGACCTTATCTGTCAATCTCTCAGTTTGCAATCATGCAGGGGCATGCAGCCTCCATCTCCCTCCATCATCACTGTTACAAAAGCTTTTTTAGTCTAAAAAGTAAACTTTTGGCTTAAAATGACAACAGCACACCATTATGAATGATTCTATAGTCCAGTTCTATCTCAAACATCCTATTCATCATCCTAGTCCTCATTTTCGTGATCATATTTTTGGGACATGTGATTATTGATTATTACCAAGTTATGACATATCATAATTTTACAATATTCATAAAAATGATAACTGTCATAAAATTTATAACTTCCTAAGTCATAAATTCTTTGACATGGGGCCATAAATTAGTGGTTTGATAGACAGGGCATATTATCCCTCCGTCAGGGAATTAAATAAGCTTGATTTCCCTAAGGGGAGTTAATAAGGCATATGACAGCAACTGAGAACAAAACAGACAAGTTTATCAAAAGGAAAACTGGATAACAAAATAAAACAGGAAATGACTAATCAGTAATAAGAACAGCAGATGAACAGACAGAGTCACGGAGACTTTAGGAAAGTGCAAAAGCTGAGAAATAAGGAATCACAAAAAATAGAAAAAAAATAAATAGAAATTTTATAGACCAAAACACCAACTAAACCTCAAAACCATAACACCCACTCCCCTTTGTGACTAGTCATTAAAGGCTCTCCTTTTCCGAGAATGATGTGTTACTGGGAAAAGCATTAAGTATTAAGTCTTTTGATTTAGACAAACCAAAAGTCATTAACTTGTGTTTTTAGAAAGTGCTTAACAGATCAATAACTGTGGAATGTAAAAACTCAAATTTATCTGAAAACATAAGATATTGTCATACAAGCTTTTCACATTATAGTCCTAATAAAGCTGAAGTTAAAAGTTGGAATGAGCTAATCAAATGAAGTAAACAAAGGAACACATTCCTTTCCCACTACTAAATAAACTTAAGCATGTAATTGGCTCTCACTATAAAAATGAAATAACGAGTAGGAACAAGTGAAGACAGTGAGAGGATGATACCAGGAGGGTGAGGTAATGTGAGCAGACACTGGTCAGCAGCCCACGGTCCCACCAGAGTCATTACCACTGACAGTAAAACTGAACAAAGTGAATGTGATTGGACAGGCCCGATGTTGTGTCCCATGGCAGCTACAGACAGCAACAGGCACATTTCTCAAGTGAACTGTCTGACTTGTATATTATTATAAGTGACAATTACATGTGCTGGATGAATGAATCGGTTATTTCTACTGCCAGATGCTTTTTAAATACATGTTTCATGATGTCTGTCTGGACTCTTGTTCCTTTACACCTAACAAGTGTGTGTGTGTTTCTCTGAACTGCCCGCCAACATGCATCCCACAGTCTGTACATGGTCACAATGTGGGGTGCTAATAAAGTTTTACGAGCTGCTTTAATCTGGCCATCTCGCCAATCACAATACCCTGAAGTAACCACATCCATCCTTGAGGGCTTATTAGAGGGCTCCCCATCACACATAATTGACTGTTCAAAATGAACCATATGAAGAAGGCAGAACACATACACACATATATTCAGTGCAAAAGCCAGCAGGTGACTGTGAGCAGTGTGGGCGTGTTAATGGTGTGTTTGGTCTGGTGGAGTGACTCATTGACATTGTGTCCATCTCAGTATAGTCAAACAGAGCCTTTCTTCTACTTGAAAATAATCCCATATGTCGTTTGAATAAGCAGCTTCTTATGACCATAACGCTGTACATATAAAGAGATGGCTTCAAAAAAAGAACTGATACATCAATTGCCTACATGTCAGGGCTGTGTACAGAACTGACCTTCAATATATAATTGTATTTTATGCCTGATTAGTCCCATCCATTGGCAGGGACTTGGTCCCTGGTTAGACATGTTTTTTGATAGATATGGGCAAACGAAAACATCAGTGTGGCTTTTGTTGTGTTGGTTGTTAATTTATTGTCAATATTTTAGAGTAGATGTTTGCCAGTACAACAAGTATAGTTGTTGTCAGTCATAAATTCTGAATTAACAGAACTGCTAAGCACTGTGGAAATGACAAAAATCATATATTATTTATTATAATTATTATTATTATTATTACCACAGTTAATTTTAAATCAAGCAATCAATTTGGAGTTTAACTAAGATATTGTGTTAACCTTTTAGTGTTTACAGCCCTTTTTATACATAGTGCCATATTTTGTGAGGTTCAGAAATAGTTGGACAATTGACTGATAAGCAGTTTCATAACCAGGTGAGGCTTGTTTTTCCTTGTTACACTAAAGCGATAAGAGGTGTGGAGTTTATTCTAAGTGCTGAAGTTACACTTGGTCTCTGTTTGCTGCAACTCTGAATAGGAAGTTTAGAGAAATATATGTGCAAGTCAAGGCAATTAGAAATAAATCCACAGAAAGATCCAAAATTTAAGAATGGCCAAATCAACAGTTTGTCACAAAAAAAGAATCCTTTTATGGAAAACAACTTCACAAAATTTAACCAAGTCAAGAATACTTTTAAGGAAGGAGGCATATCATTTTCAAAATCTACAATCAAGAGATAAACTGAAAAACAGACGGAAACCACTGATTACACAAAGGCCAGATTAGACATTGCCAGAAAATATCTGATTTGCATTTTTTTTTTTAAAAGAAAAAATATCTTTTCAGATGAAATAAAGATGAACTTGTACTTGGGAAGAGAAAAGCATGGAGCACATGACCTGAAGCATACCATATAATCTGTCAAAAATGATATAGCTGCTACCGCTATAAGCAGTGACATAATCAGTTAACACCAGTAGCCTGGTTCCTTTGGCATCCCCATGCCATTATTTTGCGTCCACCTCCACCAAAAAAATCTATCTGACTTTTATCGATTTTGTTTTACTGTAGAACATAAATAAATAAAACTAATATGATGCAGTGCACATACATCAAACTTTGGTAAATGCCTCACCGGATGGACCCCTCTCAGTCATTTCTTCTTTTTGCCTCTGTTCATCTCCTCGTTAAAGTTACCCATATGTAGACACTTTTTATGACCCGTATACCAAGTTGAACTATTTAAAATCCACCATAAAAGATTATAAAGCCACATGACATCAGTTTTGGATCAAGTACCTAAGTTGGTTGTTTGGAAAAATGTGGCCAAAAGGTCAACAGGTAGGAGTGGTATCACACGGAAGCAAATGTCTGTACAAATACTTGTAGTAAACTTAGCTTCTGATTTAGTGCTGCTTTTTACTTTCAAAGTGCTTTACGGCACATTTGATCTCAAATATGTAAATATTATTTATGTTACTGGAGTAATTAATCTAATTACTTTTTACTTTAAGTCTTGAAAGACGTTACTCTGTGTGGGAGTTGATTTACTGACAGTGTAGGAAGTTTAAATGCATGTTGGCAGTTTTTAATTAGTCTGTGGGTGTACTGCCAGTGTGTGTTTGTGTGTGCTGCTAATTAAAAGTGTCCTGTTCGTGTGTGCTTTTGTCTCATATATAAGACCAACAGACGGCAGATGACAGACAGAGTAGAAGAGGCGAGGTGACACACTGAGGAGGTAACTAACTACTGATTATCTCACTTAGATCTGATCTGATATTGCTCACGGATAAAGGTGAAGATGGTGATGATGATTATATCACTGGGGCTTCTCTTTGTTGGACTTGGTATGACATCAGCTGCTGCTGGCCCAGGTATGCATCAACATTTACATTTAATCTGTTTTTCTACTATATTGTGCTGTGATGTCTAAAAGATGTCTAAAAATTTTATTAATTGTCTGAGAATGCACTTACTTAAACAGTTAACATCCTCAGATCTTTAGTTATGTACCTAGCATGCCATGTTTATCTGTCTACAGTTTTCTAAATACCAAATCACTCCACTGGCAATTCCTTGGATGCATCCTTTTTGATCTTCTAATATCCAGTAATGCATTTGTCCTGTTTTGCGCTGTATCATTTTGCATTTTACAAACAGAAATCTTAAATAATGTCTCTACTATGCATAATATAAAAATTCTAATAAGGAATACTGAACCCAATAACTATAAAATAGATAGAAATTAAATTATGACTCAAGTTACATTTCTTCTGTCTTCAGGCAGCTGTGTGGGTCGATGCGGTGAGGTTTTCAACAGAGGCCGGCAGTGTAAGTGTGACTTCAGCTGCCTGCAACATAATGAGTGCTGCCAGGACTTTGAGGCTACATGCACCGTCGGTGAGACAGATACAATAACACCCTAAAAAACAAAGCTTAAAAACACACAAGTCTACACATCTTTACACCTCTTCTTTTTGTAGACGAGTATTAAGATACAACACAGATGAATAAAAACAGAAAAACTACTCGATGTGGAAGCAATGAATCTATTATTGTTGTTTTCTCCAAAAGTTGATTCTGTTCATCTGGACGTAGAGTTTTGTAGGAGAAACGTTTCGTCACTCATCCAAGTGACTTCTTCAGTCTCAGCTGACTGCAGGTTTCCCCAAATATTATAAACAATAAATTTGCATAGTGACTGAAACCAGCCCACTGAAGGAACAATGGGCTGGGAGGTCAGTTACTTAATCATAATTATGCAAATTCTCATGACCATTGATCAACAACCACTGATCAAAACCCACTGATCAATGGCCATGAGTACCATTCACAGAGAGTTGTAAGATGGCGAAAAATGTACCCTTATTGTTGTTGTGTTAGATTAACTCACTTACTTATCTTTAAGTTATCTGTTTCTGTAAGCTGTTTTGATTTTCTTTTTTTTTTCTTTTTTTGTGTTTGCTTTTCAGTGTTTAAAAGTTTTTTTTTTCCATTTTAAAATATGATCATGTTTCTTTCTGAAGCCCAGAAACGCTTCAAGCTTGTTTTGGGCTGTATGGATCTTTTGTTTTTCCTGTTATGTTTCTTCTGTTTGCTGTATTAATTACTACAGAACACAACTATTTGGTTTGTTTTATTTTGCGATATGTCCTCCTCTTTCTGTTTGTTTAGTAGCTATTTTCATGGAAACATAATGTTTCTAATTGTTTTGTTCTAGAGCTTTCTTCTGTTATACTTTACATTTTGGTTTGTTATTTGTGTTAAATTTTATAGCTGTTTAGAGGTTTCTTTCCAAAGAACTGTTCTTTTCACCTAGTTGCTTCAACTTTGATGATTTCTTTTGTCCCTTTATATATACTTATTAATATTTTTAAGCTAATTGTTTCTTTGATATGATGTTTAGTTGGACAACAAGTCCAACACTGGCACCAGCTAAATACAAAATATAGTTATCTGTTGTATTGGCAGTTTATTTATTTATTTTTAAACCAAAAGAATAATATAATGAAAAGCTATGCTGCATTCTGCTGTAACGTAATGGGCACTAAGCATCTGTCCAGCTGCTATGTTTGACCTAAATGCACAAACAGTGATGGATTTTTTGTGTGCAGTGTTCTATTATATATAACTCCCTTATTATCGAAGTGAAACTTTCTTAAAAGAATGAGTGACAGAAAATAGGATATTTTATATGACTTCAAACGGTTGAAAAGTTTACTGGTTGGAAGACAAGTGCACGATTGTCTGAAAGTAAAACACGAGATGATAATTTTTCAGTGGTGTGTCTTTTTCTTATCTTATTAAATCCCGTGGCAGATAGAATATCACGGCTTTAAATTTCAAGCCAGTTGAAGCAACGTGCTGTCCTGTGATGACATGCTCCTCTCTGTCTGTGTTTTCAGCACAGTCATGTCAGGGTCGCTGTGGTGAGGTCTTCCGACGTGGTAAGCTGTGCGAATGTGATCCACTGTGTGTCCTCTACAACACCTGTTGCCATGACTACAAATTGAACTGCAGTAAGTATCCACAGCCACGGCTGCAACTGCATAGAGAAAGCACAATGTCCCATTTCACAACTCATCTGAACTTGTAGGCCTTTAAGGACAAATGTTATTTCACATGCGATTTGAGCAGATGCTGCATCCTAGATGCATGAAGGAGCGTTTCCGCAGGTCCTTCCTCCCTGCAGCTGTCAGACTGTACAATCAAAACTGCTCCCAACAAACATAGATGTTTACATCTGTGCTGTAACTGCAATAATTTAATCAACCGATTCGCACTACAACCTGTGTTTGCCTCTTATCTGTAGTTAATTTTATTTAATTTAATAACGGTACAGTACTCTGTTTATAGTAACCACTGTCCTTAATGTAAATATGTAAGAAAGAAAAATTGTGTATGTTTCTGTTCTGTGTTCTGTTTGTTTGTAATGTGTCTTTCTGGCTGCTGTTACAACCAAATTTCCCCTTGTGGGACAAAGAAAGGATTATTCTATTCTATTCTATTCTAATTTCTAGTTTTTCATTTTTCTCTGTGTTGACAGACGCCACAGTGCCACTCTCACCAGAGTCATATCGTGGCAGGTTCCAGTCTCTAAGGGCCACAGCTTCAGGTATCACTGCAGGAAAATGTATTGATGCCTGTAGTCAGTTACTACAGACATCAATACAAGAATGTTCCTAATGCTTTCATTGCAGTTCCTGGTATCTTATTTTAAGCTTTTCTGCTCTGTTTTATCGACCTCAGGAAAGCGGAAATCCCAGAGGAACAGGAAATCCTCCAATAGTGAGAGTGAGGAATATTTCACAGGTGAATACAGTTCAAATATTACTGAATATTTGCCAGTTCTGAATCTGGGAACAGCACTTACTCTGTCCAAAACTGACAAAGCACTAGCAATGCTAAATCCATCCATCATTAGCTTCCTTTAAAAGAGTAACAAAAATTAATAATAATGCTACATTACCGTTGTTGTATGTAGGAAGACGCCGCTGCCCAGAGCACCTTGGGGCTCAGTGTCAGGGTTCTTCAGGCCTCCTCAACTCACTGACTGTTGGCTTATCTGACTCCACCCCTTCTGTTGTATCAGCCAATCAGCTACAACATGGTTTGGAACTTTCTTTCTTTCGTAACTTAGTTTTCTTAAATGAGCAAAATGCAGGTTTGATTAATGGTCATTAAAGTTAATGTCTCTCATTCCTCCTGTAGGTGTGAGTAGCATGCCTGTTGGCCTGCTGCCTGTGATAGTCCCTTCCTCTCACAGCAGAGCTCCATACTCACCAGCACCTGGCTCATCTCTGCCCATCAATAATGCTCCGTCTCTGGGCATTGGTGCTCCAGTGAGCCCCCTGGCTGCTTCATCTATGCTTAGTCAAGGTTTATTTAACAGAAATTATTTCATAATTGTAGATGAACCAAGATTTTTGCAACTTGTTTTAGGTTCATTAAAACAAGTTGTTCAAAAACAATTCCCAACATACTACAGTACACAGCAATGCCGTTCTTTGTGCTCATAGGCCTTGGTGTTCCAGCAGGTTCCAGACCCAGCACTCTTCAAGATGTATTACAGGGCTTGGGGCATGGAGGATCTGAAGGACCAGGAACAGGTAAGCAGCTGAAGGTGCCCTGTGGTTGTGGGTGTGTTTAATAAGCTTCTTCTAAATTACATAAAAATGTATGTGTGCGTGCAGGGGTCTTTGCTGATGTAGACCTATGCAGCCATTCTCCCATCAATGGACTGACAGCGCTCATTAACGGGACCATTCTGGCATTTAAAGGTGAGTGTTGTGACTGTTAAATTATGGCTAGGCGTGAGGGGTTAGGGTTAATATGTTCTGTAGCTGTGCTGGACAAACTATATCCTCTGCCAATATATGCTGTGAAGTTTAGTGACTGCAGGTTGTTGCAAGCATGCA